CAGGCTTTATTTTACTTAGAAATCGAAAAATCTCATTATAAAACCCCATAGGAAAATCTCGAAGGAACCCGCGGCGAATTACTCTTCCGGGTTCTGACGTCATAGTTCCCCCACTCTATTACTTTCAGAAATAATGTAAATACTGATTAATAAAACAAATGTTAAGAAACGTATGATAAATTCTTTATACATGTAATTTACTTTTCCTTACTCCAAATCATTTAAATTTAATGGCATTTAAAACAGAACAAAAAAAAATGTAGGCCTATTTATAAAATAGACATAAATTATAGTGCCATTCCTTACAAGCAATATTTATTTTAAATTAAGCCTATAACAAACTTATTTAAAATGAAACTGAACCTTGTGGGTTCACGCACCTCTCATTTGCCAAAGATGAGTGAGTCGAGTGAGTCGTTAGACGCGGTTGCATTTGGTAACATTTGGTTGCTTAACTATTGTTTATTAGGTTTTATAGGTTTTATACTTCTCTCGTGTCTGAATATCTACTTAAAACACCATCCTTCACATTTGCAAAAAAAAGTGTTTGGAAAAAACAGGCATGGAGATGCTTACGCTGAACAACACAACCTACATATTGGATTATATCAGCGGTACGCTTATCCATTAGATAAGATATCATTCAAAACGGTCTATTTTTATTTGTGTACCTTCAAAATAACTGAAACGTCATACTTAATAAAGAATAAAGAAAACAAACAAAATGCGCTTGCAGTCTTAGTTTCCATGAACCTCTTCCTCAAATGACACAGCAGTTTGCTTAGTCTTGATGGGACCCCTTCAAAGTAACTTTGGAATAATTCAGCACATCTCAGAAGATTAAAAAACATGTCTTGTAGTCTGGAAAATACGGTATAGCAAATTATTTTGCGGACCCCTTGGCTTTGGGTCATGGACTCCAGTTTGAATACCCCTGCACTAGCATATTTTGTTCTTATTATTGTGCATGCATATATTATTTGGGTACATGAACACTTGATTATTGCATGAGTAAAGAATATAATCTTTAAGAATTTTATGTTAATTGCAGTTGAAAAAAGTTTTTCCCCCCAGTTCAGCTCCAACAGGTGAACATAATGTATGACCCAACTAAACTTAAATTGTTTGTTATTTGTTAATTGTTATCCACTGTACAGTAAGTGAAGTTTCTTTTGTTTTCATGGTTTTTGTACAAATACACAGTCTGTCATTTGATTTACCTGTACAAATAAAAATTACATTGAAAAAAACATGAGTTTGAATTGAATGCAGCCTAAGAGTGTTTATTTTGTCCAGAAACAGTATAAATGACGTCTAAATGAGACTGCAGTTGACTTTATAAGACGTTGAAAATACGTCCAACAATGACCACATCTGAACTAAATTTTAACCTCTTAAAGACGTCCTGTGGACGTCAATATTGGACATCCAAAAGACGTCGAAAAAGACGTCATAAAAACTTCGACTCCAGTTTGAATACCCCTGCACTAGCATATTTTGTTCTTATTATTGTGCATGCATATATTATTTGGGTACATGAACACTTGATTATTGCATGAGTAAAGAATATAATCTTTGAGAATTTTATGTTAATTTCAGTTGCAAAAAGTTTTTTTTTTTTTTTCCCCCAGTTCAGCTCCAACAGGTGAACACAATGTATAGACCCAACTAAACTTAAATTGTTTGTTATTTGTTAATTGTTATCCACTGTACAGTGAGTGAAGTTTCTTTTGTTTTCATGGTTTTTGTACAAACTCACTGAGTCTGTAATTTGATTTACCTGTACAAATAAAAATTACATTGAAAAAAACATGAGTTTTAATTGAATGCAGCCTAAGAGTGTTTATTTTGTCCAGAAACAGTATAAATGACGTCTAAATGAGACTGCAGTTGACCTTATAAGACGTTGGAAATACATCCACAATGACCACATCTGAACTAAATTTTAACCTTTTAGAGACGTCCTCTGGACTTTCATTCTGGCTCTTCAGGGGACGTCATTTCAACATCCGAAAAAGACATTGAAATGACGTTTGGACGTACCTTTGCTCAGTGGGTAGTGTTAGCATGTAGATTTCAATTTCTGTACAGTCTATAATTGTCATACAGCTCCCTTTGAACTGGTTGTCTTTAAAATACAAATCTTGTGTAATCCCAGGCTATCCGTAATCAGAAGCACATTTAAAACTGGAATATAATTTAAAGGTGTGGTTCATTGCGATTTCACTTTTTTAACGTTAGATAGAGTCTAATGTTGCTGTTTGAGCATAAACAATATCTGCAAAGTTACAAAG